CTGGAAGCTAGCACCTCTTCACCCTAGGGCTTCAGCCTTCCCTCTACCGGCTGGGAAGTTTTAGGGTTCCAGCTTCACTATCTAAAAGCCCTGACCACCACATGTGGAATCCTGCCTCTCCTCACTTTTCCAAACACAGCAGGCAGCAAGCACAGCCCTAAAGCACCTGGACTCCGCCTGAGTCGCCATGGACACAGCCACATCAGCACTGAGCTCACAGGTGATGCCCGCACCCAGAGATGCCAGACTTGGGAAGCCAGGCAGGCTGGGGCTCAGGGTCTCCACAAAAGGGAAGAGAAGAGCAGCAGGAGACACTCTTCTAGCTCAGGTCTTCTCAACAAGCCAGCTCCCCAGTCCCCATTTCCTCCGAGCCACCTGCCAGAATCCTGATCTCAAAAACTCTTCCAGGATTCCTTTCCCCAACACAGGAGTGTGTGTATGTGTGTGTGTGTGGGGGGTGATGCCTTCCAGCTTTCTCAGAACAGAAACTGTGCTGGGGGAACATTCCTAGGCACAAACAATCAAGGGCTGGGCTAACCGTGCAGGCGCCATGATGCTCTGGAGGAAAACGAGGTCGGGACGGTCCATAGGACCACAGCACAGCAAGGGGAGGTACACACCTCCGTTTGTCAACACACCTCCGTTTGTCAACCCTCCTCGTCTCACCTAGGACTGAAAGCCCTGAAAACTGATATGCAGAGTAACAGTCCAGATCTTTCCTGACCTGTCTGGCCAAGGGCAGAGTGGTGGAGAGCTGGACTTGTCTGAGAGAACATTTTCCAAAACAAACAGTTGAACTCATGCAGTAAGTTGTGTGATAAACACAGCAAGGAAACTGGCAACATTTCAACAGAGAAGCAAGAGCTGCTAAGCACTTTACTCTGAATTTGCCAGCAAATTCCAGGTATGGATAAACCTGTTTCCACTCAAGAGTGAACATGAATACTTGGCCTCATGCACAATCATACATAATTAAAGTTAAGGCAAAGCATTCAACGTGAGGAAGAGGTACACTCATGGAGAACTGGGCTGGAGCACCCTTGAGAAGGCCCCAGTGCAAAAGACGAACACGGGAAGGAAAACAAAAGAAGCTAGACTTGGGGTCAGACAGCAGGCTCTAAGACAAATGGGACTACAGCAGCATTCAGCGAGACCTGCACACACGTGAGGATTGCACACGCATGAGGACTGCACACACACACACACACACACACACACACACACAAGGACAGCACACACACATGTTGAAGAAGTCAGGCTCCCCATGGAATACAGTAAAAAGTTACAAGCACCTAGATAAATAACTTGATGAGAACTTGGAATTTCATGTTTTTAAATACTAAAAAGCATTTGAGCACAGGACAAAAAAGAAAATCTTCAATGAAGCATTATATAAGCAAGCTTTTAAAAGACAGAACAAAAACATAAATTTATAATTAACTTCCTATTAAAAGATGAATGCTTGCAAGATGACTTCAGAACTAAAAGTTACATAACATGTCCAAGAAAAATAGTCAAAGTAGAAAATAAAGTTACAAAAATAGGAGCCACTAATATTTATTAGGAAGTTTAAAAAGTTTCTGTCAGGCTAGGGATACACATAAGTGTGTGTAGCAGAGGACTTGTTTAGTACATGAGAAGCCCTGAGTTCAATTCTCAGCTCTGCAAAAATAATAATAAAATGTATCAAGCATCGTATCTATGTTAATTCAATTCTCATAAAAACCCAACAGAATAGGTCCAACGTTAACTCCACTTGACAAATACTCTACAGAACAGAAAAAATAATGAAAATCCAACAGCACAGGCCCCAATGTTAACTCCGTATGACAAATACTCGGCAACACAGAAAAAATAAATAACTTGCCCAAAATCATGAAAATTGTCAGGATTTGAACCCAGGCAGCCTGGCCACCATACTCAGCCTTTCCACACCTACCATTGCAAACTGGCTGCTCTGATCCTGACAGTAAAAAGGGACCACAACAAAGTGGCAGTGACAGCAATACTAGCCACCTAAAGGAAAACCAATTCTTCACTGCTGAAAGACACAGCTGACTCATACGAAAAAGAATCGATACAGAGCTTCTCAGCCCCTGCCCTATATCTGACTTTCAGGACTGTCTGGTAGGTGGGTGGGTAGATGGGTGGACTGAGGGACTAAGGGACAGGCAGACGGATAAAGGAGTGAGCAAAAGGACCAAGCACAAAGGAGACAAAGAGAAGCTGTCAAGAAAACAGTAGCAAGAAACACTGCCAGTTCTGCTATGCACAGCTGCTTTAGGAATGAGAAACAGGCCGGGGTGATGGGTCGATGTGTAAAGATGCTCACTATCAAGCCTGGTGACCCGAGTTCAATCTCCAGGAACAGAGCAGACAGAACCAATCCCCACCACTCAGAGTTGTCCTCTGACCTCTGCATGTGCACGCACAACACATAAACAAAAAAACAAACATCAACGTGAGAGGAAACTAAAATTTGTTCCAAAGTGATGACTGAATCCATACAATTGCCTCCGTACAATTTAGTTCCTGTGAAGAAGTAGGTGAACAACGCAGGCCCTGCAGGGCTGCACACAAGGATGCTGACCGGCGCCCATGGCTCATCATGATGTCAGGCATACTCACGCATACCCTCCGCACACGTTTATATCAGCACACGTTTATATCAGATCTCAGAAAAAACACTTGCCACAGTTACACAGTAACTGGTTCTGTCCTCCTCCTGCCGCCCACATCCAGGAGCATGTTCCACATCTGATACAAAGAAGCTGACAGGTTTTTTGTAACGTGTGCAGCTCTTTACCAACTGAGACTACATGGACAAACTGAACTGTGCCCTCCCTGGGTCTCCTTTCCAGAGCTCTTGTGTGTGCAAACAAGAAGAAGAAAAAAATGATATGAGAGCAGAAAAGAAAGCGGGTAACCCTGCAGTCTACAAAGTCATTCTGGGTGTTACTGGTGCTCACAAAACCCAACAAAAATAATAAAGTGTTTTCACCAGTCTAGTTTTAAAATGCATTTTAAAAAATCAGATAAATAATTTTGAAAACAAAACTACAAACGGGATGAATTCATCAAATTTAAGCAATTTCAATAAAATTTCTCATACTTTTCAGAAAGTATGTATCAATGAGTAAGATGTAAACAAAGCTTCTTAAGTTTCAGTTCTTTAGAGCTAGCGATAAAAGCACTCGCTGGCTCTATGTAATTTTATGAGTTCAAATTGTCAAAAACACCAAAGGGTGGATAAATCCAATCCGTGTAATCAGAGTGCTGCTTGGTGTTCTCTCTCTCCTCTCTCTTCCTCTCTGTGTGTACACATACCTCTGTCTCTATCGGTATCGGTCTGTCCTCTCCCACTCACCCTGTGTGTGAGGGAGAGAGAACATGATGGTAATCTAAGGCATTGCGAATATTTCAACTTAGAAAGTCGAGATACATTATATAACACTTTGGGATTGCAGATTGTAGATTCTCTTGTGCTAACTGGATCCTGTCAACTCTGGTTGCTATGGCAGCACTTGTCTAAGGAGGAAGCCTGGTTCTCCTATGGCCACGGTGATTCCCCGGTTTATTTACTCCCTGTCCTCGAAGGCTGTATCTCTCTCCTAGCCAACTATGTGAGGCTGTTACCACTGAGAAAAAATACTCTCCAATGAAGGATAGTCATCAATTCTCCTCAAATTATCTTTAAATGTTCATGTCAACCCATTAAAATCTAAAGATATTTTTTGATGAGGTAGAAAGAAATGTAAATTAATTCTAAAACCCTTCGGGAAAATTAAATTGTTACTTATTAAAAGGTTTTTTTTCAATACAGAAAGACAAGATTTAAACTGCCAGTTTTTGAAACATTATCAAATTGCAATAATTTTAGACAAATGTCATCCACGACACAGACCGGAAAGCCCAAGCCAGTGAATATTTTAGTACACTAAACATGACACTAGCAGTAGAAAACGGTGGACACATTTAAGACTCAGCGAAGTGTGCAGGAGAGACGGCTCAGCAGTTAAGGGCACTGACTGCTCTTCCAGAGGACCCGGGTTCAATGCTCGGCACCTATATGGCAGCTCACAGCTGTAACTCCCACACAGACAGACACACATGCAGGCAAAGCACCAGTGCACATAAAATAAATAAGAAGAAGAGCTTTTAAAACACTGAGAAGAGCGCCTCCTGTACACAGGGCTCAGCAGGTACACAGCCTGGGCAGGGTGGACCACCAGTCCTGTGTTACAAGTAGCGCAGTGACTCTTAGTGAGCCGCGCCCTGGACTTCACAGAACTGCAGAGAGGATTGTCAGTTATGACCGGCAGCACTCAGAACAGTGACGACGTGACCAAGGGCTACACGGGGATGGTAAACAAACAATCCCCGACAGTGCCTAACTCTTCCAAATAAATGCACCGAGGGTTAAAAAGAATACTAGCATTACCTTAACAGTGGATTGAGGAAAACCTAACTCTGAAAGACGCAACAGCAAAAGAAACAGACCGACAATTTGACTACATAAAGGTTAGTCTCTATATCACGAACTAATTAGAAAATAAAACCTTCAGAAAATACATCCCTACAAATCAGACTCAAGCCACAAAAACAAAACAAAAAACAAGTATCTTTGTTCATATGAGAAAATTATTGGCAAAAAAAAAAAAAAAAAAATATTTTTCAGACATGTTGGCCATGGTTTTCACAAGTTCCATAGCTGAAAAGAGACAGACACATTGGCACATGTATGTTTAGACAACTGGGCAGTGACCCTTCTGAAAGGCCCATGAAATACCAACTCCTCCGACCTAGCAAGCCACCTCTAGGACAAGGGTTTCAATGAAGAGACTTTGCTTCGCTTTCTTAGGAATAAACCAAAATCAACTTACACAAGATGTGAAATATACTGAATTTCAGCTATAAAGCTGAAAGTTCACCTCCTAAAAACTCCACATTTGTTACAGATTTTTAATATTACTAAATTTAAAAAAAAAGTTGAGACAAACCTTTTAACAGCTTCCTTCTTCGGAATATCTATAATATCCCACCATTTTGAAAGGTAAGAGATCTCAGACCACATAAACTTCCTGCTTGAGTCTTCTTTCAGCTTTAGGACCATGTTATTAAAAATATGCTGAGTCTTGTCTCTAAAGTAGTCATTGAAAGTCTTCAACCAACCTAAATCAAGACACAAATACACCACAAAGGTCCGATTGATATGGCTGATTTCAACTTAGTCACATTCCACCAAATTACTATTGGATACCCTTAACTCTTTCATTCAAATAGAGCCCACGTTTTTAAAGCTAACAGTGTGTTCGATTAATAAAATCCTCTTTTGGTTGAGAGGGAACTAAAAACCTACTGTCACCAAAATGATGAACTATTCAGTCACAAAAAAGAAAACAATGAACTGACTTTTAAAAAGAAAAAAAAAAATCAGTTACTTATATTTAACCATTAATTCCAATACTTATTTCTAAGTATGAATTTTTTTTTACCCTAGATTTAAAAAGTCTAAATAGTACTAACTGTATTCTCATAAATCGGGATCAAAATTGTACCCTCATACATCTGAAATCCCCAACCATCCAATATGAAACAAAGCAAGGCAAATCCAAACTAGACCCCAACACTCCCAGCAAAGCATATAGTGATTACAGAGCTGATATGAATACTGAGCATAGTTCAGTATTTGTTCCCATCATGGAACCATCTAGGAACACAAAGGAACACTAACAAAACAACAAAGGTGAAGAATGTGTTAATGTTTCCCCACCCCCGAGAGGATCCTCGGTTCCCTAATTTATCCTACTAGTCCCCAAATAACTTGGAAATTGTTCCCCCAAATCATGACACTCTGGTATAGGAAACATGCTAAACAAGACTCACAAGCCAAGCTCAGGTATACCAGATGGATGACAGAATGTCAAAGGCTACCATCCACGTGGCCACCGATTGTGCAGACTGGTGACAGACACGGTGAACCAAACCTGGGGAGGATGATTTGTTCTCAGGTATAAAACCTTAAAGGGAAGAGCTACTGTTCAACTGTTACCAAAATTCACACATTCAAGAGACCGACCCGAAGTGTAGTGAGTGCAAAGAGCAATTCTGCCTGCCTATGATTAACCTAACACTATATTGCGTCTGCTAGTGGGGGGAAAGAAAAGCAAAAAGAAAAACCTTGTTGGGGGAGCGCATATCATATGCTTCTTTTAACAGTGTATTCTGAAGCAGATGCATCTGAAAGAGGCATTGCAGCTGTGACAATTTCTCCCAGGTGCTGGACACCTGCAATATTCGGGTGTGTCACTAGGAGCCAAACAAGAATACAATGTCAAATTTTTTTTTCTAAGGCTGTCTCAGTCTAGGGCACATTTGAGCTGGTTTGTCACCAAAGAAGGCTTTCTGGATGCTTTACTTTCCCATGTTAGACTGAAAACCCTTTGCCTTCAGCAAACTCCAGGGTGCCTTGGGCAGCAGCGGTGTACAAGGAATCCCATTGTGTTTCAGCAGGCACTAACTCCAAGCCTGCATCAGACACAGGGCCAGGACCTATGTCGAGAGTCCCAGAAGGGAACAAAGAAACAGCTATCTACCCTTACGTGAGGATGTCCATCCCAACATTCCTGAGTTTGAGGGTGTGAGTACTTCCAAGACTAACCTTGGAAGATGTCACACGGAACCTGAAAGATAACAGAGTAGCTGGTTTTCTTTTTTCCTGTCAATGCCTGACATTGAGCTTTCCCATTTGTAGTGTCCAAAGAGGGAAAGGCAAAATTTAAAAAGACAATTCTGTGTCGGGAGAAATCCTAACTCCTCCTGCTTCCGAAAGAGACTGAATTGGAGATGAGGCCTTCAAATGGTTTATTACGGTAAAATAATGTAAGGAAAGGGAATCTTAATCTTAAAAAATATTAGGACCGGGCACACACAGAGAAACTTGGCAGTACAGGTGAAACCACAGGTCATTAAAGCCAAGGAGAAAGTCCAAAACACCTTCCAGTCTCTGGATGAGCAAGCTGCAGCCACTCAGTCTGTTACAGAGGCTGGAAGACTAATGTGGCCTCAGAACTAATAATGCCACCGCTTTCCAAAAACTATATCGATTTATCAACTCCCATCATAATGTTTGATTTAATATTCTATATCCACCTACACAGCACAAGACTAAGCTGAATTCACAGATGTAAAAGCAAATGGACTTCTATACCATGATCGTAATGTGCAGAACAAGGACTGTTAAAACTCCCTGAAGGGCTCAATTAGAATTATCATCTTTAAAATGACACATCTACCTCTTGCCTCAATTTTAGTAAAGGTCAATTACTTGCCCATGGACAAAACTGCGGAACTCTGGGCAAAGTAAAGCCTCGAAAATTAATTAAAAAAAAAAAAAAACTAAACAAAAACAAAAACAAACTCCCATAATCTAGCCTAACAGGCAAAGTAAGAAGGGCTATTTTTTATCAATAGGTGAAAGACTTTTGCAAAAGTACAACTACATATTTCCAACAGCTGGAACTTGTTACTAACGAGATGGCTGCATTCCAAAGACAGTTTACCACAAGAGTTTTCATAGAGAAACTATGGTGACTGATTCACCCAATCCGCCTTCGATACCTCATTTGACCTTCAACAATCAAGCAGCAAATATGTCAAAGATATTTACATGAGGCAAAATACAACTCAAAGACTTCAACTTAAAAGTCTTCCATAAAACTCATCTATAATTGATACTAATAATGCTACAATATAGCATAATTAATGAATAAAGAATTGAGTTTCTTGCAGCTTTCAATATTGAGTAATATAACAGTAAATTAGCTTTTATTGCTCTTATACAATAGACTAATCAAGTATTCCTTTTTACTCAGAATTGGTTCTTTCTTCCTCTAAATTACTATAAAAACTACAATTGCATATTAACGTGAGACCAATCAGAAAGATAATGTTTTTATGCAAAGCTGCATGGGATGAATTTTTGCAATGTGTAATTACATTACTACCTCTAGATTTAATAATCTGAGGACTCTGAGTTGCAAGCTGATTTACCTAAGTGGTCAGTACAGTTTTCCTCTTTCCCTTTAGTACACTAGGAAAGTGAACCAGGACTAGAATACACTTCCTTTAATCCATTTTCCCTCAAACAATGCTATCACCCTTATAAGAACTAACAGCTGTTTTAAATGAGTTCAAAATAAACTAAATGAGTGAGAAATTAGAAGTTCTACAAAAAAAGGTATAATCCCAATTCAATGCCACTAATTTTTAAGTTCTAAAATTTAAAAATAAATCTAATGAAGTTGAAAGCCCAATTGTCTGTTTTTTATGTGCAATTAAGCAACCTAGTACTTATCCACTGGCAAATCAGGCTTTGTATTTTTGTATTTTGAACTCTGGATCACAGCTTAGAAGCCTAGAGATCCAGTCCTCTTAAGAGGACATGCCATTCATACACAGTACTACCTTCCCCCAGCCCACCCCATCCCACCACCCACAACCCGGGCAAAAGTTGCCTGGCCAGAGAACAGGGCTCCAGAAATATTTCCTCATTGTTCCATTGATCACACCCCTTTCTACGCTAGTACCCCAAGGCAAAGAACTTGCCCAGTCAGAGTGTGCGCTGCTCACTAAGGCCCACAGCCTAAATATCAGAGTCCAACAGCGCCAAGCTGACTGACAGCCTGCTAGGTCCCTTTTGTAAGTCCTTCCTTGTTAAGATACTCAGCCCTACTGTAAGACCTTCAGACCTGGGAGTATCCAGGAGACGCCATTCTACAGTGAGTAGACAGCACTATACTGTCACAAGCTCAGCTCTTATTGGATGGGGACACACCCAGATCTGGGCAGAAAGACAGTTTGGCTACCCTGCAGGTTTCTCTTCCCAAATATGCCATGGCCAAATATTTCTGTGAGAAACTGTGTCCTGAGAACTCTACACCCACATTCGATCCAGCTGACCCCGGGCTACTTCTATTTCTTCAGGTAAGCAGAAGGCCTTCCTTGTCTCCTCTCTTCTCATCTCCTCATCTCTCTGCAGTCTCTTTCTTTCATTTATAACTTTTAAATATTTAGAAAGAAGACTGTGGGCCTTTGTGTATTTTGGCCCCAGTTCCTGACAAGTTTAGAAGCAGGACTGAGCATCCACAACTAGAACTTCAAAGGAACCAAGTCTCATGAATCTAAAAGCGCTGAGTATGTGTGTGACAGATGAGCGAAACATAAAGCTCATGGGTTACATATGAACACGTATTCAGCTAGAATGGAGCCGAACGCACCACTTACTACAGCCAACTTTGACATGTGTCTGCTACCCTAGTCACTGCCCGCCCGGTGTCCCCACACTGCTCCGCTATCCCTCGAAAAGTTTCTAGCAGGCCAGGTGGAGTGGTGCACATCTGTATTCCCAGCACATTGGAGACAGGGACAGGAAGGAATCTGTGACTTCAAGTCAGCCTGATCTACATAGTGAGTTTCAGGACAGTCAAGGCTACATAGAGAGACCTTGCATCTAAGAAGGGGAAAGGAAGGACCTCTAGTAGGCATAAAATTACCAAAAAAAAGAAAAAAGAAAAAAAATTAAAAAAAAAAAAAAAGGGAACCTCTCTTAATATCACTGTGACATTGTGAGGCTCACAGCTGTAGTCACTTTTTAAATATAACATTAATTGCACTCAAAAGTTTAAATAATCACCAACTTTTAGGAATTCATGGAAAGATTTTGAGTTGACAGTTTATAGTCAGGTAAATGACATAGTGGTGATCACATTTAAAAAAAAAAAAACCCAGCAACTTAAACTTGAAGTTATTTCCATTGTATTGTAACAGTATCCTCAAATTTAAAAAATAAATACAAAGGGAGTTTGCAGCTTAAAAAAAACTTTCTTTATGTTAGTAATAAAGTTATTTTCTATCAAAAAATAATTAAGAAGTTTCTCCCATCACTTGTTAATCCTTCAGTATCAAACTGCAACATCCAACCTTGTACTTAAGGGACAGCATATAATCGTAATTGTTATTACCATTATTTGATTATGCTGCTGATTAATTTTAATTCCAATGTTTCTATTATAAATTGGACTCTTCTGTCCCCCTAATAAACTGGAAGAGCTTTAATTAACATTCCAGTTTACTCATTCAAACATGTATTGAGTATCTAATAAGAGCTAAGT